AATTTCGTGTGTCGGTAAATTTGCTTTCAACTTTGGGAAAAGTTCCAAAATTTTGTCCCGCGGTGCGCGACCGTAATGCAGTTCGTAGGGCACCGCCTCCGTACTCTGATGAAAAATCAAATTTATGCAATCTTGGATTTGCGGAACGAACTTTGCCCAACTTGTGTGACTATCTGCACAATAGGTTCGGAAAAATCTACCTAGTTCCCGCATAGTACGCTCGACCGGGTTTGATTGAGGGTGTCGAATCGAGGAGAATATTCTCTTGACCCCTTCCGCTTCTAATCCCAATTCCCATGCCGGCGACGTGAATTGCGTACCATGGTCGGATAACACCTTTTCCGGTTTCCCAGTCTCCATGAAATAATGTGATTTCATTTTCTTCAAACATATCGCGGTGTTTGCCCTCTTAATTGGGTACAGGGTAACCAATTTTGAAAATACGTCAAGCACGACGAAAATGTACTTGACTCCTTCTACTGATCCGGGCAGTGGTCCATAAAAATCTACGGCTATTAACTCGTTTGGACAATTCGCCTTCACACACTGATACGCGCCCTCGGTTTTTTTATTCAGGCATTTTGCACGCTGACATATGTCGCAACTTCGAGAGAAGTTCTTCACGTCTCGTCGCACATGCCTCCCATAAAAAAACGGTCTATGTACTTGAGCATTTTGTATGACCCTGCATGACAAAATTGCTCATGTACAGCCTTCAGCACCGAATCGACCATAACTCGCGGAATCATTAACTTCCATTGATCCCCCTTATTACTCGCTATATACAAAATCTCGGATTCCTTTCGAATTACCGCTTTACTCGAGGTTTTTTGTATCATTTCCCGAATCTCGACATCGGCTTGCTGCAATTGCGATAATTCACGCAACTCCGATATAAGTTCACGATTAAACCTAATATACGGGGTTAGTGCATTTATTGATGGTCCCTTTAGCGCAATTTCTCTGAAAGCATGACACGTCATTTTGCATAACAAAAAATTATTATGATTATCGTCAATCATTTCATTACCGAAATTGCGGCTAAAAAAATCCGCGACAATATTGTCCGCACCTTTGCAGTGTGAAATCTCGAATTGATATTCCTGCATACTCAGTACCCAGCGAATTAGCCTTGCGTTTTGATAAGGAGTAGATAACATAAAAGTTAACGCTTGGTGGTCCGTAATTATTTCGAATTGCCACCCAATGAGATACATCCGAAACTTTGGTACCGCGTATATTATTGCCAATAATTCCTTTTCGGATGTCGTGTGCCAGGTTTCGCACGACGTGAGGACTCTACTCGTAAGCGATATTATCCGGATTTCACCTTCGTCATCTACCTGATATAAAATTCCGCTTATCCCGTAATCGCTTGCATCCGTTTGGAGTTTGAATTTTTTTCTGGCCAAATGGTGGCTCAGAGTAACTGCGTGCAAAAAATTATTTTTCAAATCCTGAAAGGCTAGCGTATGATCCTCCGTTAAACACCATTTGCCTTTTTCACTCAATAATTCTCGGAACGGACCTACGAAATCCGAATGCCTCACACTGAAACGACGGTAATATGCGTAAAAGATTCGATGAATATTTTGAATTTTCATTCAAGGGAAATGTCAAATTTGCTAAATACAAATTATGTGACATAAATAATAATCAGGCAGAAGTTTTTATAAAAATGACTGCAGGCAATACAACTGGCATAAAAAGACATTTAGAAAAATTTCATCAAAAGGAGTACCAAGATTTTTATGAAGTATCCCTGAATTCACCTGAAAATCAAGTATATTATGATATTCTAATTATTAAATATCTATTTTTAAAAATTCAAAGAATTTTGTCTTAAAAAATAAAAATTAATAAATAATAATTTAAAATACAATGTAATATAAATATACATAAAAAAATAAACAATAAATAAATAATAAGTTGAAGTAGAAAATTGTAAAAAAAATTAAATTTTATTCAATTGTTTAGGTAATTAAAAACTTGCACAAAATTAAAGGTTGGGTTAATAAAATTAATTTTCTGAAAGTGAATAGAATTTTTAAAAAATTTTCAGTAACATATTTTTTGACTAAAATTTTATTTGGACTAAATCAGCATCAAATTTGAATTTTAAATTATCTTCCCTATTGTTTTTTTGATGACAAAGAAACTCAGGACTATTTTAACTATATAAATCCAACAGTAAAGTTGCCAAAACGAAGAGAACTGAAATCTTTAATTGAAAATCGATTTAAAAGTATACAAAATTCCTTAATGAATGACCGAAGTAATTTATTTCTAGTTAAAACTCGAACACTACCCTGACTTTCTACTATTTTTGTTATTTAAATATATTTAAGTTTGATTTTCTTAAATATTGCACTTTCTATTTTTACAAAAGATAAAAATAATAGTGTAATTTTCTTTGACACAATAAAATATTTCCTACTGAAAAATATCAATTATTAAATAAATTTGGTAGTGAACTTATGTGTGTAAATTTACAGATATCATGTTTTCCGGAAATATTAATTTACAACGCAAAAATTGTATATTTATATTTAAGATGAATTCCTTTGTTAACTTTACTTTAAAATAATAATAATTAAATAAAGAATCTTCTTATTAAACAAAAAAATTATTATTTAATTTATTAATTGTTAATTAAAAATATCTTAATAAAAATTCATTACAAATCTTGGTTAAATAATTGTAACAATAAATTATAAGATTTTAAATTTAGATAATTTTGAACGAAGAAAAGTAAAATGATGTAAAACTAATTTTAAAAGTATTAAATTATAATTTTTAAAATTAAAATTAATATTTTAATTCAATTAGTTTCATAATAATTGTAATAATCAATTAAAAATCAATTGTCATTTAATAATGTGACAATAGTCACAATCAGTACTCAACATTTTTGATAATTCGAGAAGTTAGTTTATTTTCAATGAGATGAGGCGAGAAAAATCAAAAAAAGACGAGAGTCGTTCTCATTTCTGATCATTTTTGACATTTCTCGATCATGTACATTACTATTTTATATAAACTTTACTTAACTAGATTTCCATTTGAAATAATTTTTATACGTCATGATTTTAATAACACAGAATTTCTCTTCAATCAAATTGTCACTTGTACGAATTTCAATATAGCGAATATCTCGTTTGTAATACAAAATTTTATCATGCCAGTTTTCCACCTATGTGTTTTGATAATCGTAAAAATGAACACAAGAGGCGCTAGTGCACATTTCCATCGTGAAGTTAGCTTCAGGAGATTTGCGGGAAACATTTGAATTTTTACAGTTCAAGGTAAGTGCTCGAATTTTTTAATAATAAAATTTCTAAAATTAATTTATATCATTAATTGATTTTTAATTATAATTCTTCTATTTTTTAGTTCAAAATAATTATTTATTTATTTATTAAATAATAATGAAGTAATATTTTCAAATTAATTAAAAATATTTTTTAAAGAACAAAATTTAAGAGGGATTCCACGGGTAAAACGAACAGTTGTCGGTGACAAGTTATCGATTTGGCTCAAATTTTTTAGGCGTATTCTACCTCTAAAAATACTCAACTAGCCAAAATTTCAAGCCCCTATCTCATAAAGAACACTCACAATCGTAAATTTCGTGAAAAGTGACATCTTTCAAAATGAAGATTGAAAAATCCATTTCTTCTCGAAAAAATGTTAATTTTGGTCAAAAAAAAAATTGGAAAGATACTAGTCGATGGGAAATTTTCCAAAGAATCCAATGCCGTTGGAATTTTTGACCTATCTCTAAACGCATGCGCAGTAGATTAAAAAAACTGATTTTTTTAAAAAAATTCATAACTCAAAATGACCTATTTCGATTTGGCTCTAATTTTCAGGAAAGACAGCTGAAAAGCTATACTTTAAAATGGTTATACCTAAAATTTGCATATTTTGAGTTTTTAACCATTTTTATGCAAAATAGTGAGCTAATTCAAATTTTTTCAAGGTTTCCTTACAGTATTTGCTTTTTTGTGCGCGTGCGCAGTTATATAGACAAAAACTAAGCCCAAATTAAAAATCCTCGAAAAATTTCCAATCAGTTATCTATATTAACACTTCATTTTTATTTATTCTAAACAAATTTTAACAGAAAAAACTTCGAACCGTTTGATTTGGTTTTCTTTTGTATTTTAACGAATACGATAAATTAAAATTATTGAATATGTGATTGACAATAATCTATAGAATTCTTATAGAATTATAGTTGACTTTTCAAGGTGTCAATAATTTAATAACAATAAAAAAATACTATCTAAAATGTTTTATTTTTAATTACAATTTATAATCATAATTAAGTCACATTGCCTGAATGTGTCCCTTTTAAATAACTCAAGTTATTTATTTATTAATTACTACAAGAAAATTTAAAATGCAAGTAACTAATCCTTTCGCCCAAAAATCGTCTTTGTTTTTAAAATACTCCCGAAAACTGTTTAGAACATTTAAAAAACAATAATGATCTTTTGCTCTCTGGGAAAGGACGAAAAAGTATCAAACTTATAAAAAGCTAAAAAAACATTTCTGTTTTCGATTGATAAACGCGATAAACATGGTTTCTCTATTTATCGATACACGCGATGAAGAGAAACGAAAGCATGTTGACAGTGCGGGCAATCGGTTTGCTCTGCATTTGCCATGTACTCAACGGAACACGCGTCGCAGATGCAAGGATCACAGGAAAACGTGGGTGCATTCGAATTGCAGAAGGAGCAGTTTCCTATAACCGTTATTGGTTTTACGGAATCGAAGTTGTGCCTGCATATGGGACATCTGGAATTGGTTGCTCTGTACAGTACTAAACAATTTTCACAAGCACACAAATGTCCACACGGGAAGAAGCATTTGGTAGATTGCTGCATTCTACAAATGCAACATTCACTGTTGTTAATTTCTTCAGCATGTTGATCTCGTTCGATCGCCAGATCATTTCCTTCTGGCCGACCTTGTTCCAACACTGGACCTTGCATGGCAACATTTCGAAAATCACAAAAAGTAGGTGCTAAAATTATTTAATATTTAAAATTATGTTTATATATTTAAAAAAATTATCCTGTGAAATGTATATTAAATTGAAATTTATTATTACACTTTTCGGTAAAATTCAAATTACCTTCTGCAGGATCTCGCTCTTGTTCAATCGGAAGATCACGGTCGTCCGCCAAACCTTGTTGGACCTCTGGACCTTGTTCAGCAACATCAGGGAAATCACGGAAAACAGGTACTAAAATTATTCAAAATTATCTTTCATTTTTCGAATGACCAACAAAATATGCCAATTTTGAATATGAGAGATTCTTTTTCAATCGCCCCAGCCCAAAAAGTCAATGTTCTGGGATTGGCTTCATACTTTGGTAAATTGTTGTCCTATATGATAGTAATAAATCCCTAAAATATAAACTCATTAAAAAAATATTTGTAGAAAGTAGAGGGGGTTGAAGTTTTGACGTTAAGGGTAACATTGTCATTTTCAAATCTTAATAAGTATGACAAAAGTTAATGGATTTTAATTTATTTATAATGAATTTTAATAAATTTTTCACGTACTTTTCAAAAATGTATACAAAATTAAAAAAAAAAAATTTTGACCCTTTTTTTCAAAATCAACCCTTATTTTTCGATTTTCACCCCTTCGGGAATTTTTTTTTGTTTTTTTTTTATTTTCTTTGGAAAGCTGAGGTTTTTTCCCATGAGCTATGTAAATATGAAAATGGGACAACAATAATTTTGTGAGAAACAGAATATTAAAGTAGGCGGTGCCGATAAGGGTGCCGTTAAGGGTAACATTGTCATTTTCAAATCTGTATAACTATGACAAAAGTTAATGGATTTTGATTTATCTATAATAAATTTTATTGAATTTTTCACGTACTTTTCAAAAATGTATACAAAATTAAAAAAAAAAATTTTGACCCCTTTTTTTCAAAACCAACCCTTATTTTTCGATTTTCACCCCTTCGGGAATTTTTTTTTGTTTTTTTTTATTTTCATTGGAAAGCTGAGGTTTTTTCCCATGAGCTATGTAAATATAAAAATGGGACAACAATAATTTTGTGAGAAACATAATATTAATTAAATTACGTGAAAAATGCATTTAAATTCATTATAGATAAATTAAAATCTATTAACTTTTGTCATAGTTATACGGATTTGAAAATGACAATGTTACCCTTAACGTCAAAACTTCAACCCCCTCTACCTTCTACAAATATTTTTTTAATGAGTTTATATTTTAGGGATTTATTACTATCATATAGGACAACAATTTACCAAAGTATGAAGCCAATCCCAGAACATTGACTTTTTGGGCTGGGGCGATTGAAAAAGAATCTCTCATATTTCGACCAATTTTCAAGATTTTACATTCACCGTTTTTTTTAAACATTCGATTCAGAAACGATTTATTTATAAAATAAAAAATAAACCTTCAACAGCTTGAAATAAGCGCAACGTAGATAAACGTTAGATAAACGCAAAAATATTCAGTACTCGGCTCAGCCACCACGTAACTGCATTGTGTCAAAAATTCCTCTTTCGTCAGATTACCCGATTCCAAAAGATTTCACATCCTTCTCAGTCTTGCGGAGGTACTTCTGTTTAACACTCTGGTTGCATTAATGCCCGTTCTATGTCCGCTATTTAGCCTGACATTGTCTCTAAATGATCGGCTTTGGAGCGCTAGTAGTCCATCTGAAATATTTGTTTATATAATTAGTAATTAATACATCATCATTTTCTCATGTTGTTTTGGTTTCGTCAATGTCTCTCTAAATAATTAAAATTAATTTTAATAAAATAATTCTAACCTAAAAAATAAATACCTGTAAAGTTCCACGTTAGGGGAAATGTTCCCACTCTTACGTGAAGTTGATTGCTGAAAATTTGAAACAAGTCCGTCATCATATCGAGGTTTCCGTTGACAGCGAAGAATTCAGCCGTAACTTGTTTCAACCAAGACGCAGAGAAATCTGCAATGAATTGATTTAAAATAGTTGCCGAATTTTCACTCAATTGTCGAACCATTTCTCGAAACGTTTGTTCAATGATCCCAGCAGGCAGAAGAGGCAATCAAAAAACAGACGGTAAAAATCTTTTGATTTCATTTTCGTCTTCGATTAAAAATGTATGAACTCCGTGTCGAATCGCCATTCGCTGTACTTGCTGCAAATAAAATGGTAAAAACATCAAAAACCTACCCAGAAACTTTTCAAATTAATTAATTAAGTTTTAAATTTATCGTGGACATAATTGACAAATTTCCAAACATATGTCAATATAACAATAAGGAAAATATGATATTTTTTCTAAATAACATTACTAATTTAAAAAATTTTTAATTTAGCTTAAACATAATTTCACGACTTTTCAGAAATATACAAAATTTTTCAATTAATAAATATAATTTGATAAAAAATTTATGAAATATGACTAATTTGCAAAATTTTAGAAATGTTCAGACTAAATTTAAAATTTTGCATTTTCTAAACCATAAAAAACTTCTCGAATAAGAAATAAAAAATGGTAATTTTTGAAGCAATCACTAATTTTTAAATTATTTAATTTATATTAGAAATAATTAGTCTAAGGAACAAAATTTGAAATTAATTAATCATAGCCACGTACCTTTTGATAGTAAAAGTGGCTTCCGCTCCCAGAAACCGCGGGAAAATGTTGTTGGATACTGCGACGCAAAAAATCTCCAAAATTGGTGATGACAGTGTTCATCGTGAGACCCGGCACAACTCTCCTCAATTCTCCAATGATGGCACTGTAATTTTCAGCTGATGACCTCGTTAAGGCATATGCCCAAGGAATCGCCTGGAATACGAATTAAAATTAAGGAAGTTCTCCCCCTCCAACGTCAGTCAAATCAATGCCCATTTAAGTTTTCATTTGTATCACGTAGTACTAGCTCAACGTTTGGCAACGTTGGATTATATTTCCCCCGTTCCATTTCGTGTCGTCTGCTATTGTTTGATTTATTTTCGTTAAATAATAATAATAATAATTTATTATTTTAAAAATCTTAATTTTTTATAAGCAAATTCAAATTATTATTCATTATTATGAATCTTTGAAGAATATACTATTATATGTATATACTACTTATATTACTTTCAAATTTCGCGCTTTTTCTATACCTAACCTACAAGACGCAACGTTGCCAAGCGTTGTGCTAAGTAATTTCTGATTGTCAAAATACGGTGTTTTTTTAGACAAAATAATTAATTGTGAGTCTCCTAAGCCAGGTCTGATCAATTTTATTAAAAGTAAGTGAACATTGGCTATTAAACTTTATGTATATAAAGTTCCAGTAATATCTTTTCGTCAGATTTTTCACAATTTGAGATTTCAGACCAAAAAATTCAATTTCCCATAAGAACCCGTGTTAAATGTGAAAAGAGAAAATTATTTATATCTTTTGTCAAAATCCACCTAGACCTTTAAAAATTTAACTACATCTTCTTTAAACCATTATCTATCAGTTTATCAAGTTTGATAATTAACTCTTCGTCATTTCTGTTTGCGAGAGAACTTCCTTAAGTTAAAATTTTTGAAACATCTTGAAATGGTATTTCAATAGTCAAAAATTTTATTACAAAATAATTATAAATTATTTAAAAATTATAAATTAATAAATATTAAAAATTAAATTATACAAAGAAATGAAATTAAAACTAGATAAATTGAATTTCTGAAAATAATAGAAAGAAAGAGAAGATATCTATAGATAACACAATGAAAACATAAACAGGAAAAACAATAGAAAGAGAAGGTAGATATAAATACCAATTAAGAGAATTATTAATTTAATTTAATTTAAAGTTTTTTTACAAATAAGAATTTTTATAGATTATTATTTAAAGAATAAATTTATTTTATATTTTTTCTTTAAATTATTTAGGAAGTGAAATAATAAAAATTATTTGAAAAAATTGCTGAAATTAATAATAATTAAATAAAATTATATGTTATATTAAAGTAAAAATTATTTAAAAATTAATGGTAAAAGTTAAATAATTTTAAAATTATTATTTTTTGAGAAATTAAAGATTTTAGAAAATGAAAATCAGTTAGAGAAAAATGATTGACAGGTAGACAATGGCATTGTTCTTGGCGAACGTTAGAAACAGAATTAGAGAGAGAAAAATATCTCTGTCCTTAGAAAATAATTTAAATGTAATTGGCTATCCGAAAATAGACGCCGCGAAAAATTCAAATAGAGGGAGAAATTGGCGGTAAGAAATACATGGGAGAAGCGCCCTGCGTAAAGTGGTGAGGGAAACTCGCGGATTTTCGCTCAATCAATTTGAAATTCCTTACTCACACACTCGCACATTTTGAATTTTACTTACCCCAGAACATTAAGGGTAGGGACGCAACTATATAAGCCAAGTAAATGCGTGTTTCTGTCTCTTTTATCTGAAAAGTTTTAAACTGGTAAGAGCTTTCTTTTATATTAATATAAGGAAATTTCAGAACTATAAAATCTACAAAGTCAAGTCTTTTAAACTTGAGAAATGCAGATTGTTGGAAGCTTTCTAACGATCTCTACCTAAACGATCTGCATCTCTGGGCGAGAAAGATAAAAAGGACTAAATCGTAATTAAAAATAAAATTTATTTAAAATTGTTGATTTTGGGAGACCAATTGTTAGGGGCTCTCTAACGATTTCTACCAATACGATTGGTTCTTCCTAAATTAACAATAAAAAAATTGCTGAAGAGGAAAGTCCGTTGTCAGGAGCTCTCGAAAGATTTCTACCAACAAGACGGACATTCCAAATCTGCAATAGAATAAATTATTATTTAACAAAACAACAAAATAATACCAACAAATAAATCTTCAAAGTCAAGCCACGGAAAATCAATGGTCAGGGGCTTTCTAACGACCTCTACCAACACTGATGATTGTCCAAGAGTGGTAAAAAGATAAATCGTAATTCTTGTTTAATATTCTTATATGCCATGTGCATTGAAATAGGCGATCCACATGACAATTTGAAAGATTAAACTATAGAGATGATTCTGACAAGCCCAAGAATTAGCTGGAATAAAATATAATTAATTTATTCAAATTAATTATCTAGTAGGGTTTTTCAGAGATAAATCTATTGAAGTTTAGTGTAATATTATAGTTTAACAATATATTGTTGAACTATGATGAGTCATTAAGGTTTAATTTTTTCATACCAAGAACAGAAAATTTAGAAATAGAGTTAGGAGAAACTAACCCTTAAAATTTTGTTAGGTAAAGTTTTATAATACTGTTAAAATAATTTATTTTATATTTTTTTTGTAGATTTCATAAACTACATAAACAAATTGCAAATCGATTTTAATAGTGAGATTATCTCAAAATCAAGGTGTGTTTGTATTTATTTTTATTTATTTATAGTTACTAAGTTAAACTAAAAGTAAATTTTATTCTATTCAGAATTGAGAGAATTAATGAGGAAAGACTCACAATCGTTTTTATAAACAAAGAAAAACTATATTGTCTGATTGATTGTTTATTTAAATTACTTAAATATAAATAATTAATTCTTTTATTTATTATTATTATTTTCTTACCATCAAATTCTTTGAAACGATAAACAATCAATTGTTTAAACAAGTAAAAGAATTTTGAAAAGTTAATAACAAAAGCTAAAAAACTAAATAATTATTGGAAAGATTCCTGTAATTTAGTTGGAAAAGCGACAAATAATTTAAAAATAAAAGAGAAGAATATAGATATATATAAGTATAACATAGAATTTGGAAAAGCGAAAAAAAAGATAAATACTAACGTATTTTTATTCATAAAATTTACTACACGTTTACAATCTTATCTGATGATATAGTTAGCACGTGTTTCATTATATTGAATAATAGAAATTAACTATAATAATCTTGGTATTCATTCATTCATTCATTCCGTCCGGACCCCTGCTGGGTTTTCGGTGGCAGAGAAAAGAACAAGTTATGAAGAGAGAAAGATATTTCTTTATTTTGCAAATGAGGGTTCGCTTGACCTGCAATCTGTTGAAGAGGATAAATTAATAACTTTGAGGACCCAGGTGATTATTTCTTTCTCCCTTTATCACGTGAAAAGGCTATAAAGAAAGTCTAAAACTGAATAGGTAACGCATACCTTTCTTTCTTACACCCAGGAATATAACATAAGTACTTATTGGGTTAACATTGCGTTTCTCTATCTAGACGATTGAAAATGGCATAAGAACATCATCGTCTAAAATCTTAATCTTCTTCCTTTTTGTTTTAAAAATAAAAAAAAATTCATAAATATGAGAGATTCTTTTTCAATCGCCCCAGCCCAAAAAGTCAATGTTCTGGGATTGGCTTCATACTTTGGTAAATTGTTGTCCTATATGATAGTAATAAATCCCTAAAATATAAATTAATTAAAAAAATATTTGTAGAAAGTAGAGGGGGTTGAAGTTTTGACGTTAAGGGTAACATTGTCATTTTCAAATCCGTTTAACTATGACAAAAGTTAATGGATTTTAATTTATCTATAATGAATTTTATTGCATTTTTCACGTACTTTTCAAAAATGTATACGAAATTTAAAAAAAAAAATTGTTAACCCCTTTTTTGTCAAAATCAACCCTTATTTTTCGATTTTCACCCCTTCGGGTATTTTTTTTTTTTTTTTTTTTTATTTTCATTGGAAAGCTGAGGTTTTTTCCGATGAGCTATGTAAATATGAAAATGGGACAACAATAACACAGGCACACAAAAAAAAAAAAGTTGTCTGTTTCTTGAACTACACATATATTTCCTATAGTATTTTGGCCCGCTGAAACCGAATCTGAGGTCAGAATTGCTCCATCACCCTTAGTTTTTTTTTAAATCGACCAAAACCACCCTTAAACGGACAAATTCACACTTCGGAAAAAAATAAATCAACTTATTTTTTAGAAAAACCAAATTTTACATCTACGAAACTTTGCTCCACTAACTCAAAAACAAAGCCAGCATTGATCCAGCACCCCCTGAATTTTTTTAATCGAAAAAACTACCCCTAATCTGAAGAATCAAATTCAGGAGGTAAAACAATAAAATAACTGATTAAAAAATTTTATAACCAGGTATTTTTACTCCAGCAAGGCAGAAATAAATCCAGAAATGCTCCCTCACCCTCTAAATTTTTTTTAAATCGAAAAAACCACCCTTAAATAGAAAAATTCAAATTTAAGAAGTAAAAAAAAAATACTTTACCGGCTTTTTTTAAAAACAGAACCTTACATGTTTGTAGTTTTGCTCTACTAACTCAAAAAAACAAAGCCAGCATTGATCCAGCACCCCCTGAATTTTTTTAATCGAAAAAACTACCCCTAATCTGAAGAATCAAATTCAAGAGGTAAAACAATAAAATAACTGATTAAAAAATTTTATAACCAGGTATTTTTACTCCAGCAAGGCAGAAACAAATCCAGAAATGCTCCCTCACCCTCTAAATTTTTTTTAAATCAAAAAAACCACCCTTAAATAGAAAAATTCAAATTTAAGAAGTAAAAAAATAATAAATTACCGGCTTTTTTTAAAAACAGAACCTTACATGTTTGTAGTTTTGCTCTACTAACTCAAAAAAACAAAGCCAGCATTGATCCAGCACCCCCTGAATTTTTTTAATCGAAAAAACTACCCCTAATCTAAATAATCAAATTCAGGAGGTAAAAGAATAAAATAACTGATTAAAAAATTTTATAACCAGATATTTTTACTCCAGCAATGCAGAAACAAAGCCAGGAATGCTCCCTCACTCTCTAAAATTTTTTTAAATCGAAAAAACCACCCTTAAATAGAAAA